GGACACAATTCCCCACGGCTAATCTACAATGGAATTGTTCCATGTCAGGCGCAGCTCTAATAATATTGTTCTGGGCTGCGTTGGATGTAAATATCTCACTCTTCATTTTGTAAGCAATCAAAGGGAAGCTTTATAGATGGAAAAGCCAGAACAGTTACAGTATCTGTGCTGAAAAACACAGGAGCCAAGTAAAAAAATCAAAGACCATTGTGCTTTAGAAAAGCTTCATTTGTGACTTATCTCCAATCTCCTATGTCTGTCCAGCAAGTTGCACATTAGACACATAACAAAAGACCACACTTTCAATGTTGCCCTTGACATTATTAAAAAATACAGGCCTGGCAAATCAGACTGGGAGGAAAAATTAGACTTTTAAATCTGGACAGTCAGATACACTCCCTTCATTGTGTGGAAAAGCCTAGAATGATGACGGGAGGAAAGGAACTCTTAGCACTCTTAAATAAAGTACCCACTAGGTGCATGGGTGCTCTGCCTCTGTCAGAAGCAGTACCACATTCCAATTAATAGTGCTGAATAGTGGAGCCAAAAGGACCTAGATTCACATTCTACTTCTAACTGTGTGGCCTTGGGCAAGCAAATTAATGAAGCTCTCTGGGCCTCAGTTCTTTCGCCTGTAAGACGAGGATAACATGTAACCCACAGGATTCTTGTGAGGATTAAGTAAAGTAAACTTTTAGTCCAGGACTAGAAACTTCTCAAAGAAAAGTATAAATGTAAAACTTAATCTGTACGACAACCCTGTTATGGGTTGGACTTTGTTCCCTAAAATGCTATGTGAAGACATAACCCCTAATACCTGGGAAGGTGACCTCATCTTTGCAGATGATCAGGTTAGGATGAGATCATGAAGATAGGTCCTACCCGATATGATTAGTATCCTTATAAAAAGGGGAAATTTGGACACAGAGACATGGTAGGAGAACACTGTGTGGAGATGGAGAATTGAAGTGATGTACTTACATGCCAAAGAGCATGCTTGTACAAGTCAAAATCTAGGAAGAAAAAAGGAACGACTGCCCTGTAGGTTTCAGAGGACTCATGGCTCTGTGGACACATCGGTTTTGAACTTCTAGCCTCTATAACTATGAAAAATAAGTTTTTCTTGCTTTCGTTCATGCAGTTTGGGGTATGTTGTTATAGTGGTCCTAGAAAACCAATATAGCTTTATAAGATGGAAAAGTTTCCCCATTTTCAGATGAAGAATTGAAACCCAGAGAGGTAAAGTTTCTAGTTCAAGATCCTTCAGGCAGAGGTGGTGGTCAGGCTGGGATTTGAACCCAGACCTCTCTGAGCCCAAAGCCTGTCCTCTCTCCATTCACTGTGTGGCCTCCATTCACAGGAACACACCTGGGATAAAAAGCAAGGTAGGGCTGGAAATGAGCCCCCATTCATTACACCAGGGTCCCAGTGGAGGCACCAGGTCAGAGTGGTCTGATTATGAACAGCTCATTAAGTAAAGAGCAGTGAATGTTTGAGAGTGACTTTTTAAGAAGAATCGACTTTTATTTATAGTGACGTTCCAGTCATTAATTTCGAAGGAAGAAAGCCCAAAGCAGAAGCAGGTTCATTAAAAATTTGACATTAGTAATTTAATTAAATTGGGTCTTTGCGTCTCGTTGCAGAAAATGAAACGTTAGTTCTACACCACTTCTCAGCTCATTTCCCCTGGTTGGTTCCCTCCCCTCACTTTAGCTGGCTTTCTTCTCCAAATGTTTACCTGTCCTGCCCCTCCCACCCCCAACACTCATAAACACACACACATCATAGTCACTGCCTCTGCTGCAAGCCAGCAGCAGGGAATCATGGGAAGCTGCAAGCGAGCCAGTAGCAGGGCATCATGGGAAGGGCCAAATAAACCAGCAAGCCAGAAGCAGGGGATCATGGGAAGTGCCAAGGAAGCCAGCAGCAGGAAATCAGGGGAAGCTCCAAGTGAGCCAATAAGGGGATCATGGGAAGGGCCAAGTGAGCCAGTAGCAGGAGATCCCTTATTTGGAAGGGCCAAATAAGCCAGTAAGCCAGCAGTGGGGGATCATGGGAAGCTCCAAGTGAGCCAGCAGCAGGGGATCATGGGAAGGGCCAAGTAAGCCAGCAAACTAGCAGCAGGCATCAATCATGGGAGGTGCTATGTAAGCCAGCAGCAGGCAATCATGGGAAGCACCAAGTGGACTAACACAGGGAACCATGGGAAGTACCAAGTAAGCCAGCAGCAGAGGATCAATCATGGGAAATCATATTTAAGCCAGCTGCACAGAATCATGGGAATTGCCAAGTAAGGCATCAGCAAAGTATCTATCATGGGAGATGCTGTGTAAGCCAGTAGCATAAGATCATGGAAGTAAGTCAGCAGTAGGGGATTATGGGAAACACCAAGTGAGCCAGCAGCAGGGCATCATAGGAAATGCCAAGGAAATCAGCAGCTATGGATCAAGCCATTATGGGAAATACCAAGTAAACCAGCAGCAGGGGATCATGGGAGGTGCTAAGCTGGGCCAACAGAAGGGGTGATAGGCGTTAATCTTTTCATCTAGGTCATCTTGGCCGAGGTAGAAAATAGGCAAGGAAAAACTCTTCATTCCTTAAGATTAACACTGCTATATTCTCAGTGCCAAGCATAGTAGGCCCACACTAGATTTTTGTTATATGAAAGAATTAATACCTGAATGGGTAACTCCCCAAACAGCTAATTAATGAGCATACATATATGTTCCTATATGTTCCAGGCACCATGTTAGTCTCCCAGGATATACCTGTGAGCCACACCAGGCCTGTGTCCTCATGGCCCTGCTGCCCAGGGGAATGAGAACATCTACCAACCTGTGAGCACCCACTATGTGCCAGGCACTGTGCCAGCCATGCAGCATTTATATTGGTCAACCCCATCAACCACTAGATGTTACTGGCCTCACTCCCTTCTCAGTTGAGGAAACTAAGGCTCAGAGAGTTCATGTGAGTCAAGATCACACAGAATAAGGCAGTGACAGCACCTGGTTTTGAACCCAGATCCGGCTATTTCCAAAGTCTGCCATTTTCCTCTATACTGAGCTGTTTCCTCTCAAAAGGGGAAGAAAAAGGCATGAGAAGGCCTTCCTTTGGAGGGTCCTGGAAGACAACCCCCCAAAGCACTGTGGCTAAGAAAAGGACACTGCAAGTGTTTGGGGACCCCTTTAGATTCCAGGCCCACCCATGTTTACTTCCTCATCATTGCCACTTCACCATTTCATTCCAGGGCCCCTGGGCCTTTGCATATGCTGTTTGCTCCTTTTTACGTAGTTAATTCTTTCTAATGTCTCAAGGTTCTGCATAGACATCACCACCTCCAGGAAATCACCTCTGACTTCTCCCCCTGCCCACCTGACTGGGTTTGGGCCCCTGCCTAGTCCCTATCCCATCATCAGTGTTGGCTGGGTGCTGTGGCTCATGCCTATAAACCCAGCACTCTGGGAAGCCAAGGTGGGTGGATTGCTTGAGCTCAGGAGTTTGAGACCAGCCTGAGCAAGAGCGAGACCCCATCTCTATAAATAGCTGGGTGTTGTGGCAGGCACCTGTAGTCCTAGCTACTAGGGAGGCTAAGGCAAGAGGATTGCTTGAACCCAGGAGTTTGAGTTTGCTGTGAGCTGTGATGCCACTGTACTCTGCTGAGAGCAACAAAGTGAGACTCTGTCTCAAAAAACAAAACAAAACCCCCTCAGCGTTCTTTTACTTGTGCACATCTGCCGCTGGCCTGGGAGCTTAGAGTCACTTGTGTTGTACTCACTGTACATCAGGCCCTGTCCTAAGCACTTTGCATACCGGACCTCATTTAATTCTCACAGCAATTAAATGGGCACAGGAAGGTACTTTTGTGATCCCTATCTTACAAACGAGGAACTAAGGTGCAGAGAGGTTAAAACACTTGCCAAAGGTGCCACAGGTGGTGAGCTGCCGGGCTGGGAGGCGAACCCAAGAATCGTGGATCCCATCTGCACTCTCCACCACCCTGCTGCACGGCCTTCCACAACTCAATAAATCAAAATCAAAAAGAAGGAAAAAATGAATAAATCAATCAAAGCCAGATGGATTGATGGGGAGGTTCCATCAGTGGCCTGGGTGTGACTGAAACCCCTCATCCTCACCTTAGGAGGGTGTCTTGGCATGGTGGGAGTTGTTGACCTTCAGGGAATAGGCAATTCCAACTCAGGAGAAAGGCAGAGGGCAGGGGGAGCTGGGTCAGTAGGCACAGGGAGAGCTCAGTCAGTAGGCACAGAGGAGCTGTCTTCCCTCCATCCTAATTGGTGAGTCATGATGCTTTTCTGCCATTACCAAGACATTTTCTTCTGGATAATGGGGGTGTGCTCACAGCTAGGCCCTATTGCTTTGGCTCCATTTGGGCACTATACACTGTATGGGAACCAGCTCCCAACTTTTTCCTTTAAACAAGTCAGGCTGATGAGAACTCATGTTCTTGTCTTCCCATCTCACTGCCTATCCCAACATCAGCCAGCCCCTTTGACTCCCTGACACCCACTAGGCCAAAGTACCCTTCTGGCTTCCAGGGAAGACCACACGTGATAAAAAGGACACTGGGTTTAATGAACACCTACTCTATGCCATGTTTTGTGTCCTTTCCATGGTGTTTGGTGAGAAGGGGAGGAGTCTGAACTCTGACCCAGCGTCCCCAAGAGATTAAAGTGATTTCCCTGGGGCTGCATCTCTAGTGACCAGGACAGACATAATTCACCCCAAGGGCTGCACATTAGAAAAAGCAAGAACCTAGCTGTTCAATTCCAGATCTCAAGTGTGGCTCCTCCTTAACATATAATTAATCTCTTTGTGCAGCCCATTCTCTGCATGAGAAGTGAGCAGATCAGCAGGGGCCAACCACGTTCATAGAAGAAATGAGCCCCAGGGAGGCCAAGTGGCCTAGGGAAGCTTTGGCTAAGAAGGTGGTTTCGAGGCTTGAGCCCAGCTCATGAGCGGCATGTCTCTCCCTTTCTTCATAGTTCTCCCCAGTCACACCTGTGGGAACCCAGGGAGGCTGACCAATGGCATCCAGCAGGGCTCAACCTTCAACCTTGGTGACAAGGTCCGCTATAGCTGCAACCCCGGCTTCTTCCTGGAGGGCCATGCCGTGCTCACCTGCCACGCCAGCTCCGAGAACAGTGCCACGTGGGACTTCCCCCTGCCCTCCTGCAGAGGTAGGTGGCCGGAGTCAGGGCTGAGGGAGTGGGCAGTGGCTGGGACAGTATGCTGGGGCTGCCCGTGGGATCCAGTCTCAAGGGCAAAGGCTATACCCCAGCAGGGCATGGGGTACACATCATGGGGAGCCCAAGTCTAGGGAGCACTGAAGGTTCTTAGGGGTCCCAGGTATTCTAGGGGCTTTTTAACCTCACCTGAGCTCCTAGCCTTCATATATGTGCTCCCTTGATTTCCTTCCCCTACATCAACAAACTTATTTTTAGCCAGTCTGCCCTGCCTCCTGCCCCGCAGTCTCAGATGAAACATCGTTTCTCTCCCCTACAGACCATCTCTCCTCTTGCGCACAGATTGTTCCCCCACCAGGTTCTGTAGTGACCTTCCCGCAGCAATTATTCTTTCCTCTTTCTTATAAATCCACCCTCTCTCCCTATCTAATAGCTCCTTCCTCTCCACCTCCAGATATGCTCAAAACCACCTTAGCCCAAACATACCTACCCCCCAAAACCTCTCCTCAATGCTATGTGGGCCTCATCCTCCCAGCTACAGTGACCAACTTGTCCCTGTTCGCCCAGGACTCTCCCATTTTTAGTCCTGAAAAATCCCACATCCTGGCAAATCACGACATCGGTCATCCTACTCCCAGTCATTTCCTTATCCCTTCCCCAACTCGTAACAGCCGTGCGCATCTCTAAAATAATTTCCAGTGGCTATCTGATGATAAAAATAACACATGGTCATTTTTAAAAGCTTAGAAAATACAGAAAAGAAGAAACAGAATTTTGCCCATTTCTACCACACTTTTTATGTATTTTCTTCCTGTCTTCGAATACATATCACACACATGCAAATAGTACATAAATTGAAAGTATAATCCATGTAGATAATTTGTAACCACCTTTGAAAAATGACCACAATGTGCTATAGGATTTCCAGTGCCGTGTCCTGGAAGTACCATAGGACCTCGTCTCTCCTTTTCACTTCCCATTTACTCTGCTGTAGAGCGGGCTTTGCCCTAATATTCTGCATCATGCTGCCAGATCGGATGAGAACTGTCTTGGCCCTCATATTTCTTGACCTCTTATAGCCATTTGCACTATTGACTACCTTTTCCTTCTTGAAACTCTCATCTTCACATCCTGTGGATACAGAACACCTACGTGTCAGTCGAGGGGTTGAGCGAGATAGGTACAAGTAGCTCCTCCTTTGGTCCCAGTTTTACTTTTCTCTTGGCGGAAGCGTCTCTGTAATTATTATCACAAGACTAGCTCCAGGGATAAGCAGCTCCCTCCTCCCACCACATGCACACATTTTTATTATTGACTCCAGGGATGAAAATTACTTGGCACACATACCTATTCCCCTTCTTCCCACTCACATGGCAGACATAATTAATTGATCATAGCATCCCTACTGCCTGAGCCCAGGCACAGCTGCGAATGCCTTCCCCACAGGCAAGCCACTGCCAATCAATCTGACTTGCCACTTGATTTCACCTTTGTTTATACCTCCTCGGCCAATAGAATCAGCCTCAGCCATGGTGATCCTTCTTGGTGGAGTCCAGGGGAACTAGAATCTGTCTTTTGTCTTCTTAAGTCCTGTCTTCTCAGGGTCCATTTCTAATTGGGGACTTGCCTTTTCAGGAGATTGACCAAACCAGTCAAGTGAAATCTGGGCTCTTACCTACATGTGCATGGCCTAACCACAGCCTGAAGCCACCACTGTGTCTGCCTATCCTTGTAGCATCTGTGCTCACTGCCACCCCCTGCCCTGGGGATGTGACAGTTAACATTCCGACATTCCAAGGAGGGTGTGAGAGTTGTGACATGATGATAGAATATGAGATATGATAGTAAATGAAATCGAGTATTCAAGGGGTAAAATATAAGCCACAGCTCTTTCTTTTTGCAACACTAAGAGTATCATACCCTTTTGTTTAAAATAGAAACTAAAACATCAGTATAATCCAAGTGTCAGAAGCAGAAGGGGTATCACTCTGCTGGGTGAAGTGTAACTCGCATCATATCCCATGCTAATATAGTAGAAATCCACTATGTCTTATAGTACCGTCAGGAATCTTGGTCAAGTTTAGCTTCCGATGACCTAGAACTCACTGCCATGCTTCTCTTCCCCTGGTTCTGCTCTGCCAACTTAGGTCAAGAACTTGGCCCTTTTTTTTTAATGCCTTCCCTATGGAAAAAAACACAGAAAACAAACAAAAACACTAGCAAAAGTGTTTGCGTGTAGTGCAGCCGTGGTGGAAGGTTTGTGGCAATGCAGGGTGCTTACATCTCACCAATGCCGGGATCTTCAGATGAAAGTATGAGCAATCATGGGCCTCTAGGTCCTTTGGCCGCCTCTTCCCTGAAAGCTTCTCCCCAGCTCTGACTTGGCACGGCCAGCTTCCCCTAGAGTATCCGTTGTGCCCTCTCTTTGCTCTCTAGCCTCTGTCACCTTGAAGCGACCTGTATCTTGGCCCCATTTTCCGGATTTCCATCAACTTCTTAGGCACAGAGCCTGATTTCCTCTTGCCATATATCCCTATGATCTCCCTCTCTAAATATCACCTATATAAGGTGATATTTTCCTGAACAAAGAGAACTCTCCTCCTAAAAGAAACTCTGGGGTTGGCTGTTAAAATATCTTTTATTCTTTTTTGATTAACCCCACTAGCCAGAGATAAGAGATAAGGGCTATCTCAGGGAGGTCTTCCTTTGCCAGATCTTGGCCATGCAGTCCAGGGTCACGGGGTTTCGGCACGGAGGGCAGTGAGAGCCGGCCCTTCAGTGGGAAGGAGCCAGGTGGGGAGATGCCACTCGTCCAGCGTTCACATCCCATGTCCCTACCTCCAGCCCATCCAGCCCCTCCAGCTTCTGCCCCATCCTAGCTTCAGGGCCATATAAATGTGGGACCCACTGCTGAACCCCTGGATGGCACATCTAAACCCTAACTCTTTCTGTTTTCCCCAAACCTGCTATTTTTGCTGTCTCCCCCTGCTCAGTGAAGAGTGTCCCCACCCACAGCAGCCAAGCCAGACACTGCAGGGTCTCTGTCTTACATTCTTGATTTCCTTGCTGCCTGCATCCTTAGCTACCAGGTCCCTCTGTACCAGTCCATCCCCTCCATGCCTCTGCCACCCTCCAGGTGACAGTCTGGATCCTCTCATCTCCCCCCTGCCTCACTACAGGTGTCCCTCTGTGGGTAACCGTGTTCCGGCCCCCGCTGCTCACACATTTCCTAGTCCTTTCTCCACTGCTACAATGAAGTTTCTAAGGCACAGACAGATAAAGTCACCCATTACATGGCTTGGACTCTTGTCAGTGACTCTTCTTCACAGGCAGGGTCAAGTTCAAATGCCTTAGCTTGGAGCACAAGGCCTCTCCAGAGAGCCCCAGGCTGACCTTCTAGTCTGTCTCTGAGTCTTCTCTTAAGTAGCTTCCACTTTAGCCACACCAGAGAATGCTCCTTTCAGAACACACCAGGGAGCCCAGCTGAGGGTGTCAAATGTTGCTTTCAGAAGGGCTTCAAGCCCAGGAGACTCCCTGCTGCCCAAGGAGGCAGAGATGTGGATTTGCTCAAAGGCTGGGAGAGAACAGAACGGCTCTCCAGCTCTCAGAGCCCCCAGGGCCACCGTCACCAACCTCCCTGTGCTTCAGGTCCATTTCTTGATTCCATTTCACCACAAGCTACAGTCCTCAGTATTTGGAGACACGTCCTCAGTAAGGTCAGTGATTTTCTGAAAGTGATTTTCCAAACTGCTCTTCCTTAGGAGCAGAGGGCGCTCGCCATGTGCCCACACTCTGTCAAGGGCGGCGGTCACGCCAGAGTCAGTGGGTTCATGCTTAGGAAGGATTAGAAGCCTTTTGGTCTTTCTTCTTCTTGCACGGAACCCTCAAGGGATGGCATCTGTGAGTGGATAAACCTCATGCACAGGGCAGTGGTCCGTAAATATTTGCTGAATGAATGGATGTCCGGATGGCTCTAATTCACCACCACGATCGTGCAGGCCTATGAGCCCGAAAGGGAAATTGCTGGCCTGGGTTCCTGCACCTGCTCAGTCGCTCTGAGTGACAGGATCTCTTTAAGTCCAGAGTTTCTTGGAGCAGCTTGGAGAGCTGTATGTGTCTGCTTCATCCAGGAGATGCGATGTGCCCAGCTGAAAGGTGGGCTCAGTCTAGGGACACAAAGCAGACCAAGGGGGACTAGGGAGTGGCAGGAATCCAAGGGGCAGAATGGGTTTGAGGCTGACCCCTGAGCAGCCTTATCTCAAGGATCCTGGCCCATCGAGGCTTGGTCCAGCCGGCAGAGGGAAGGAGGCAGGGCCTGTGACTCCCCTTCACTTTGTTATCACTCTGGGCACATTTTCAAAGGCAGAGGGCCCTGGGAGGTGCTGAGTTTTGGTAACCTCTTTGATCCATAAGAAGGAAAACTGTGGATTTCAGCAACCAGCCTCTGACTTGTGCGGGGCCCTGGATCAAAGAAGGCTCCATGGGGGAAGGAACAGAGTTCAGATGTGCTGGGAGGCTGAGAGGCAGGTGGTAGAGAGAAAGCTGGCTTGAACAAGAAGTGCTTGGCTTCTGAGGTTCGAGCCAAACACTGCAGGCTGCCACCAGACCTGGGGAAATGGGCGTTTGGTGTGCAGCAGTGTGGACTCCAAGTGTCGAGTTGTATTCCAGATTTTCTGGCCCCAGGGAGAGGAGCCTACAGAATGTGGAAGAGCAGTGGCAGCATTAGGCGTGGACAGTGGGTGGAGTCAGACTGGCATGGGTTCAACCTAACTGTGCCAGCTCATGCTGTGTGGTCGCCAGCCTGCTGCTAAACCTCTCTGAGTTGTAGAGGTGAAAAAAACTAGCAGCCTGACAGGGCTGATTGCTTGCTCATTCTTTTACTTAGATGTTCAATAACTTTGCCCACCAGTCATTGATTCAATCATGAATTTATTAACTGTCTATTAAGTGTCAGATATTCCTCTAGTTACAGAGAATTGTAGCAATGAGCAAGT